GCTCCTCAATGTCTTTCCTGAGGGGAGTGGGACAAAAAGTGTGTGTGCTGGGTGAGTGGGGTCCTTCATGATGCAGGTGGCTCTCTTCTTGCATTTACAGGTATAGAAGTCTGTGAAGGTGGGGAGTCTGACTCCAACAGTCTTCTGTGCAGCCTTCACCACTCTCTGCAAAGCTTTTCTTACACTGCCGCATCCAGTTTAAACACTACCACATCCAGTTAATATACTGCCACCTCCAGTCACACACTGCCACCTCCAGTCAAACACTGCCACATCCAGATAAATCACTGGTGCATACAGATAAAACACTGCCACCTCCTGTCTAATATTGTCATCCATAAATCCAACCATTATCTTCCGCTTGCTCCGAAGTCGGGACACGGGGGTAGCAGCTTCATCAGGGAAGCCCAGACATCTCTTTCCACAGCCACCTCTTCCAGCTCTTTTGGGAGGATTCCAAGGTGTTCCCAGGCCACTCGAGAGATATAGTTTCTCCAGCAGGGTCTCATCCCAGTCGGACATGCCCGAAGCACCTCCATAGGAAGGAGTCCAGGTGGCATCCTTTCCAGATGCCCTAAACACCTCAACTGGCTCCTCTCGATGTGGAGGAGCAGCGGTTCTATTCCGAGTCTCTCCCGGATAACCGAACTTCTCACCCTACCTCTAAGGGAGAGTCGAGCTACCCTGTGGAAGAAACTCAATTCAACCGCCTGTATCCGCAATTTCATTCTTTCGGTCACTACCCAGAGCTCGTGGCCATAGGTGAGAGTAGGAACATAGACCAACCGGTAAACAAGAGTTTTGCCTTACAGCTCAACTTTCTCTTCAACACAACAGACTGGTACAGAGTCTGCAATACAGCAGATGCTGCACCAATACGTCGGTCAATCTCATGCCCCATTGTTCCCTCACTCATGAACAAAACCCCGAGATACTTGAACTCCTCCACTAGAGGCAGAACCTCACCCTCGATCTGGAGAGAGCAATACACCCTTTTCCGGTTTAGGACCATGGCCTCAAATTTGGAGGTGCTGATTCTCATCCTAGCCGCTTCACACTTGGCTGCAAACCACTCCAGTGAGAGATGAAGATCACAGCATGATGATGCCAACAGGACCACATCATCTAAAAAAAGATGGAATCCTGAGGCCACCAAACCGAAAACTCTCCGCCCACTGGCTGTACCAAGAAATTCTGTCCATAAAAGCTATGAAAAGCTTTGCAGAGAGTGGAGAAGGCTGCACAGAAGACTGTTGGAGTCAGTCTCCCCACCATCACAGAGATTTACACCTCCAGATGCAGAAAGAGGGCCACCTGCATCATGAAGGACCACACTCACTCAGCACACACACTTTTTGCCCTGCTCCCCTCAGGAAGGAGGTTGAGGAGCATTAAGTGTAGAGCCAGTAGACTGAGGAACAGCTTCTACCCTGAGGCTGTTAGACTCATAAATCTCTAACCAGAATAATCACTGTGACAAATCACATCATGTTGCTGCTGATCTGTTTCAATGTTGCTGCTGATCTGTTTCATGTTGCTGTGTTCATGCGTGCACATCTGCTCACACAGACTCATGCTCATGTTCGTGCTGCTGTTCAACGTAATGTTTTTATGCTATTAGTGCTTACTGTATTTTTAGTTTAGGTTTTTCTTAGTTTGTATCTTAGATTTATTACTGTTTTTTTTTTTACATTTTATTGTTGGATGTAACTGGGACCCTGCGTACATAATTTCGCTCCACCACATGTACCACGTGTGGTGCGAATGACAAAGAATCTCTGACTCTGACTATGAACAGAATCGGTGACGGGCAGCCCAGGCAAAGTCCAACTCCCACCCTGCAAGGGTCTGACTTACCGCCGGAAATTTTAACCAAGCTCTCGCACCGCTTGTATAGGGACTGAACAGCCCATAGCAACGAGCCCCCAATCCCATACTCATGGAGCCCCCCCCCCACAATGTACCCTGAGGAACACAGTTGAATGCCTTCTCCAAATTCACAAAACACGTGGACATGATGGGCAAACTCCCATAACCCCTCGAGGACCCTTGTGAGGGTAAAGAGCTGATCCAGTGTTCCACGGCCAGCATGAAACCCACATTGTTCCTCCTGGATCTGAGGTTCAACCAACGATCAGACTCACTTTGCCAGTACCCCTGAATAGACCTTACCAGGGATGCTGAGGGTGAGTGATGCCCCTATAATTGGAGCACACCCTCCAGTCCCCCTTTTTGAAGAGGGGAACCACCACCCCAGTCTGCCAATCCAGTGGCACTTCTCCCAATGTCCACGCGACATTGCAAAGGTGTGTCAACCAAGACAGCCCCACAACATCCAGAGCCTTAAGGAAATCAGGATGAATCTCATCCACTCCCGGAGCCCTGCCGCCTCTGAACTTTTTAACTACCTCGGCAACCTCAGCCACAGTTATGGATGGATCAACCCCAAAGTCCCCCAATTCAGCTTCTTCCATGGAAGACATGCTGGTGGGATTGAGAAGGTCCAAGAAGTATTCCTTCCACCTCCCGATAACATCACTGGTTGAGGTCAACTTCCGCCCACCTTCACTGAACACAGTGTTAGTAAAGTGCTGCTTTCCCCTCCTCAGCCGTCAGATGGTTTGCCAGAATCTCCTCAGAGCTGACAGAGAGTTGTTATCCAAGGTCTCACCAAACTTCTCCCACATCCAAGTTTTTGCCTAAGAAACCTCCACGGCTGTGGACCGCTTGGCCCTCTGGTACTCCTCAGCTGCCTCTGGAGTCCCACTGGCCAACAAGGCCCGATAGAACTCCTTCTTCAGCTTGACAGCCTCCCTAACCCATGGTTTCCACTACCGAGTTTGTGGATGGCCACTGCAAGAAGAACCGAAAACCTTGTGGCCACAGCTCAAAGCAGCTACCTCAACAAGTGAGGTGAAGAACATGGCCCACTCAGACTCAATAGCTATGTTTACATGTGCAACATTTTTTGACCGGATTTAAATGTTTTCAGATTAAATAATTCAAATGTATTGTTTACATGGGCACAATCTGTTCATGACGAGCGTTTACATGCAGCGGGCTTTGTTCTGAACAGCAGTACTGACATGCGCAGAGTGGTAAACTGTCCTTGAAAAAAAACACTGAAGAAGAAGTTCTACTTCTGGGGTGAACGTAAACAAACCTGAGCACCCAAAATGGACCCGCGACAGGTTTTAATGATGGTGGAGATGTTACTGCACTCCCTGACTGAGCTACAGGTGATACAGATCATTTTGAGCTCTTTCAAAGTTTCTAGTAGAAATGTTTTGTCGCTCACCGACCAGTTTTGCTTCCCTGACATGCTAATATTATTAGCATTAGCCAGGCGGAAATGGCAAAGTCGCACATGCGCAGTCAGATCAGTTTTTCACGATCAGATAAAAACAAACAGATCAAGCGTTTACATGCGCACCGATCGGGTTACGGATCGGCATAAACCACCCGTTTCGTTCTGATCACTAATTGTATCGGATTGCACCGAATACACAAAAAATAACCCTAACGGAGTGTTTACATGACACACTTTTATTTTGACCGGCCATTTGATCCGGTTACTTATGTCCATGTAAACATACCTAATGTCCCCCACCTCAGCTGGAATGCGGTTAAAGCTCGCCTGGAGGTGCGAGTTGAAGAGCTCTCTGACAGGTTCTTCTGACAGGTTCTTCTGCCAGGCGTTCCCAGAAAACCTTCACTACACGTTTGGGTCTACTGGGTCTGTCTGTCTGTCCATCAAAAAACTGCCTCATCCAGTTAAAAGACTGCATCATCCAGTAAAAATACTGTCACCTCCAGTGTCACACTGCTACTTCTGGTCGCACACTGCTGCCTCCAGTTGCAGACTGCCGCCTCCGGTTGTACACTGCCGTCCAGATAAAACACTGCCGCGTCCAATTAAAACACTGCCTCATCCAGTTAAAACACTGCCACATTAAGTTAAAGTACTGTCGCATTCAGATAAAATACTGCCGGCTCTAGTCTTACACTGGTACCTCCAGTCGCAAACTGCCACCTCCAGTTGCACACTGCCACCTCCAATCACACACTTCCGCCTCCAGATAAAACAGTGCCACAACCAGTTTAAACACTGCTGCCTCCAGTCACACAGTTGCCACATCCAGATAAAACAGTGTTGCATCCAATTTAAACACTGCCGCCTGCAGATGAAGCAGTGCCGCTTCCAGTCACACACTGCCGCCTCCAGTTACACACTGCAGTATCCAGATAAAGCAGTGCCACATCCAGTTAAAACACTGCAATCTCCTTTTGCACACCGTTGCCTCCATTTACACGCGGCCACCTCCAGATAAAACAGTGCTGCATCCAGTTTAAATACTGCCACCTCCAGTCGCACACTGCCACCTCCAGTTACACCCTGCTGCCTCCAGTCGCACACTGTTACCTCCAGTCACAGACTTACACCTCCAGATAAAACAGTGGCACATCCAATTTAAACACTGCTGCCTTCAATCACACACTGCCTCATCCAGTTAAAATACTGCCACCTCCAGTCACACACTTCCGCCTCCAGATAAAACTGTGGCACATCCAGTTTGAACACCGCTGCCTCCAGTCGCACACTGCCACGTCCCGTTAAAACACTGCCACATCCGATTAAAACCCTGCTGTCTCCAGTCGCACATTGCCACCTCCAGTCACACACTGCTAAACTCTGCCATGTCCAGTTAAACTCTGCTGCTTCCAGTTAAACTCTGCCATGTCCAGTTGCACACTGCCACGTCCAGTTAAACTTTGCCATGTCCAGTTAAGCTCTGCCACTTCCAGTTAAACTCTGCCACATCGAGTCGCACACTGCGGTGTCAAGTTAAACACTAGTGCATCCACTTAAAATCTGCCACATCCAGTTAAACAAAACTTAAATTAGTTTATAACCTGAATGTGGTAAAACCATTCCTGATTCCCATCACTACAAACTGAAGGTTACAGAGATGGGATTCAGCCTCAGAACATGGACTTACAGCCCGGATGATCCTGATGGAACGAAGCTCAGAATTGCAGCCCCCCCACACCCTCCAGTCATGGTACTCTCCCTCCTCCAGCAGGTACTGGTGGCCTCGGAAGTTCTCCTTCTCGTACCCAACCCAGCTGAAGAATGAGTCAGAGCAGGTCAGACCGCAGGCCATCAGCAATAATATCAGTTGTTAACTTAGCTGCGCAACAGGACTCACATTCCGCCCAGAACTTTAAGGGAACCAACACTGTACATTAAGACTGCCTGCTGCTGGTTGGTTCTACTCATGAAGTCCTTCATATTGCTGCTGACGGTTCGAGACTTCCCAGTGAAGTATGGCTTCTCATAGATCAGCACCTGAGCACAGACAGGAGGAGTCAGGATGGGCTAATGACTGATCTGTAAAGAATGATTGTTTGGTTTTATCTCACCTTGGACTCACTCAGGTTCTCCACTCTTGGTTCTCCCTGTCAGAGACGAAAGCTTATTAGGAGGCCTGGTTTCATATCAAACAGCTTCATCTGGGAGGATTTCTGCTTCATTCAAAACTCACCACTTTTAAAGGATGCAGTGAAGCTACATAGGGCTGCTCCACCCCCCAGGCAGCAGGACTGGAGTACCCCCCCACCTCCAGGATCCGTGGGACACCCTGGAAGAAGGGCTGGGAGAAAACCAGCCAGCTGCCAGGCAACAGAGTGAAAATTAAAAAGTGAAAGTAGTATTTTGTCATCACTATGCGTTCCTAGACAATGACAAAATGTGTCCTCTGCATACGACCCATCAAACGAGACACACCAGAGTGGAGCAGCAGCAGCAACAGCTCTGGATAACCCGGGGAGCAGTTAGGGAGCAGCTGTCATACTTGAGGACACCATGTCCAACGGACATGGCAGGGAATTGAATCTCCAAATCTCTGGTCCCAAGTTGGCTGTCCTACCACTGCACCACAGCCACAAATCACAGCCCAGATAAACAAAGTTTCTGAATCAGAAGCATGTTTTACTCACAGCCCTGCGTTAACGATGATGGAGTTGGCTTTGATGGGGAACCCAAAGATCCTCGCATCCTCCGAGGTGTCCCTGAAGACAACTTTCTTCCCTTCTGCATTTTCTTCAGGGAAAAGACTGATTTCTGGGACACTGTAGTCCTGAAGATGGACAGAGACAGATTCTGTCAGAGGAGAGGAACTGGGAATTTTTTTCTTCTGAATAAAACCGTTGGCTCGTCTTCAAACTAACCAGTTATAATTGATATTTTAGATTTAGATTAAATTTAATTAAAAAATGTTTTTACACAATTAAAAATATTAAATAAGCTAGAAAGCAGAAAATAATAAAAATGAAAGAAAGTCTCCAGACTGGTGTTAATCAAACCACCAGGTGGAGCTACTGAGACCCATTGCTCATTTAACTAAAAAACATGCCAGAAACTTTTTAATGAGTTTACATATACACAATTCTTCTTTCTAAAGAAAACTATTCCTGGAAAAGGTGAAAAACTTTTAAACTCTTATTACATCCCAGAGCATGAGAAACTGGATTCTACTTTCAAAACTTAGATTTGATAACTTGAATCTGAAAACACTTCAGTAAAAACAGGCTCTCCTTGTGTTTAAACATAAATCTGTTTTCATAAACTCAAACTGAAGACAGGAATATAAAATAAGTTGATATATTCAAATACTGGAACACACAAGCTGACTTCTTGTCAGGTTCCGATCCATTTACTCTCGTCTAGAAACAAACAATGTGTTTGTCCAGAAGATGGTGCTAATAGACACGGGTTCCCTGTGACCTTTGACCCCAACATGTGAAGCCAGTCTCTCACCCGGACAGCTCTGCGCACAGATCCAATGATGAATCTCCGAGTGGGCTTATCCTGCCCCTGTTCATTTGGCTCCGCCTCCTCAGGTGAGCTGAAGGGACAGGTGAGTTCGATGTCACCTTCGTCCAGAGCGACCTTCTCCCCCTTAAAGTTTGGTTTCTCGTAGAGAACCCACCTGAAGAAGAATAGCAGCCAGAGGAACATTTTAAGGTGTGTGCATCTGTGGACTAATATCTAAGGTCAAACATCAATGTGTTGCTGTCTGTGAACAGAAGTGATGTAGCACACGACTCAGATGCCCCCACCCCTGTACTAGCTGAGTGAGGCACACCTGGTTTACCAAACCTCAGAGGAAACAATATGTGGATGCTTGAAACGTGCAAACATTCAGCGTTACGAGCCAAGTTAAAGATGCAGCTATGGATAGGGCTGAGTACCGAACTTTGGTTCTTTTATGGTACCGACCAAACTGCTGTGGTCGGTGTATGTATCAAAATATTCCTCGTCTTTTGGTGCCAAGTTATGGTGATTGGCTGTAAGGTTACACATAGTTTCAACCACGTATAACATGCTGGTGAAGATTCTCAGTCATCCAGGACATGATAAATTTAAAAAACGTTCAATACAAAAACAACTGGACTTTATTTGTAACAGAAGACGTTTCACTCCTCATCCAAGAAGCTTTCTCAGTTCAGAGAGTGAGGGGTTCAGGTTATAAGGCTAAGTGAGATAAGATACACATACATATGTAGATTGAAAATTCACACCTCAACACCTCACAGTAGGGGTTTCTTAAGGTCTTTGTTCCTCTAATTCATAGATGAGGCCCCTCTGTTCCCATCAGGTGTGAAAACTGGCTGGGAATCAGTCTTAAAGTTGCATTATACGTTTTTGAAATTTGAAACCTGAGGCCTCCTCCTCTGTTAAGAGATGTTTTTTTTTCTCTTTTACATACATTGCTTCCTTCACCCCCCTCTCAAACCATCTGTGTTCTCGGTCCCTTATGTTGCTGGAGTATCAGATAAATTCAGAAGGATTTTCAACAAACACAACATCCCAGTACATTTCAAACCCAGCAGGACTCTCAGACAGAGGCTGGTCCCATACACAAACAGTGGTGTAGTGTATATGATCCAGTGCAGCGAGGACAGTCCAGACCTCTACATTGGAGAAACTAAACAGCCTCTTCATAGACACATGGCTCAACACAGGAGAGCCAGCTCCTCAGGACAACACTGAGCTGTTCACCTCCACCTCACAGATAAGGAACACTCTTTTGAGGACCAAAATGTGCACATTTTGGACCGAGAACACAGATGGTTTGAGAGGGGGGTGAAGGAAGCAATTTATGTAAAAAGAGAAAAACCATCTCTTAACAGAGGAGGAGGCCTCAAATGTCCACTTTCAAAAACATAATACAACTGTAGCGTCCATCCTTCCAAGAAACTTAAGACAAATGTCATCAGAGACACTACGGCTACTCTACCCCCTCCTTTCCTGTTAATCTGGGACAGATACTGGCATCCTGCTCTGTCACAGGAAGTTTCTTTGTTAACCTTCTCTGTGTGTGTTAAAATCTACAGTTGGGACCACCATGACATGTTACATGATTCTGGACCCCCTTCGTGTAATTCACCTTCTGTGTTGCGTCACCAGACTTTGAGACTCCTGAAGAAGGGTCTTGATCAAAGAGCTTCACTTGGCCTTATCAACAGAGACTGGTCACCATGACAGTAAAGGAAGTTACCCCCCCAGTTGAAGTTCTGATTCAAAGAAACCATTTTGTTTGTATCAGCATGGTGTCGCACATCCTTAACAAAGGGTCATTGTATTATCTTCTTTGAAGAACTTTGAGAAGGGAGATTTTAATTACATTAATTATACAGTAGGATACTCCTACTGTACGAAGACCTCTGATTGGTTAAAAGTTAAGGGGCCCGTCTTCCTGGTGCCAGGTATTTTGAACACCAGGGGAGTTACGAGATGGCAGCCGATGAGGAAAGTTGGCTTGGGATCATCAGCTGAGCTGAGCAGATGGAATGAGTGGTTTGAGAGTTGATGATACTCTCTGAGAAACAACAGCCATATGATGGAAGACATGTCCAGCTGAGAGATGGTGGACATCCTGAAAAATCTCAAACACCTTGGAGCTAAAGGTACGAGCTGAACAAACCGCAGCCCTGAGAAACGACAACGCCCAAAGCCTGTCTTCTCTTCGAAGAAATGTTGTAAATTGAGTTGAGGGACCAACTGGTCAAAACAAGTCCATAATTATGGTTCGGAAGAAATGCAAGAGAGTCTCACAGCAATCTCACAGACAGACAGAGCAGCAAAGCAGAGAGGGAGGGAGGGAGAGAAGCATCCGATCTCGTGGGGAGCGAGTGATGAAGTTAGGGTTAGGGTTAACAGCTCTCCTTATGTGAATAGAGCATGCTCCGCTTTTCTCACGCATTCTAGCCACAGTCTAAGAAACACAGTGTGGCCTAAATTAACTTTAAGGGAAAAAATCACTAGCCACTTAAAATAGTTACAGCAGTGAATGTTTTCATGCCACAGAGAGACACAGGACAATAACTCACAGTGAAATTCAATATGTAAGAGTGTAAATTTTACATTACACAACCTAAACACTTTGTACAAAATCAGTTTAGTTTTAACAAAGACTAAACTCATGCAACCAGAAGTTACCACATATATCTACATATAAAACACACAAAACAAAGCACCTCCCTCAGTCATTTGGAGAAGGCAAACACTTTTGTGAGAATGCTCTTCATTGACTACAGCTCAGCAATCAACACCATAATCCCCTCCAAACTGGTATAAAAGCTCACCACACTGGGCCTGGAGAAGTCCATCTGCTGCTGGATACTGGACTTCTTCACCAACAGACCACAGGCAGTGAAAATAAGCTGTCAACTCTCCTCCACACTAGTCCTGAGTACCGGTGCACCTCAAGGCTGTGTCTTCAGTCCACTCTTGTAATCACCATTTACACATGACTATACCGCCAAGCACAGCTCTAACGTCATCCTCAAGTATGCTGATGACACCACCATCCTGGGCCTCATCAACAACAACGAGAGTGTCTACAGAGATGAGGTGAACTCACTGACCAGCTGGTGTCGGGAAAATAACCTCTCTCTAAATGTCAGCAAAACAAAGGAGATGATAGTGAACTTCAGGAAACAGCATGGAGGTCAGCACTCTACTATCACCACCCACCAGAGGGGCCTCACCTGTGAATTAGACTAACAAAGACCTTAACAAACCCCTACTGTTAGGTGTAATAAGGTAAGGGGGAGTGGTGGCACAGAGGTTAGAAGATGGGCTTGTGATCGGAAAGTCACAGGTTCATCTCCCGGTACCATCAACATCAAAATGTGGGTGGAAAAGGTGAAACACCTCCACCCTCATTCGCCCCACTCTGGGCCCCTGAACAAGGCCCTTAACCCCACCATCTGCTCCCTAAACAGGTCTCTCTTGAAAATGAGTTCTCGTGGCTCAATGAGACTACCTGGATAAATAATGGGTAAATGAAATTAATGAAAAAAGTGATAGGCCAATTTGCATATGTATGTGTATCTTATCTCAGCTTTATAACCTGAACCCCACACTCCTTGTTTCCTTGAATTAAGGCCCTATTTACACGAGCATGATGGGGGGAAATGTAGGTTTTTTTTTTGTATGTTAATTAGAGGAAAAGAGCCGTGTTGACACGGTCGGATTTTGTGTTTACATGCATCCGGAGGAATGCCCCCGCCCTCCCGAATCCGATGTAGTTACCATGTCGGGTCATTAGTTGGCACTGTGAATTTTGTACCTTTACCTAATGCGTATGCGTGCTGCCTTGGCATACTCCTTTCCTGTGGGCTAAAAGCTCAGCTAACAACAATTTAACAACAAGTTAAAGCTGGATTTTGGCTGGATTTTGAATAAGAGTCACCAGATTTGACGCCAAGCGGGACCGCTTCATCTAACAGCTCCACACTGGTCGCTGAGTGGACCAGAACCGAGTCAACAATGTTGGACTTTACTCCGTGATAATCAGTAGCTGACTTACAGCAGGTAAATCAACGTTCTTAATAATGTTGGCTTGTGTTTACTTCGGTTACAAAACAACCAACTGAGTTTTAATTTTTTCCTGAAAGAAGAAGAAGCTGTTCTCCCACCAGGCGGACCGGTTCTGAACGAGGCTCAGCCCAGGTGCAGTGCAGGAGGACATCGAAGAGAGAGATGTTGGATGAAATATTTATTTAAAATTCCCCTCAGTTCTTTTATTCAATCCATTGAATGTTTTAAGTTGCATTAATCAAAGGAGTGATGGCCTGAACGAGCCACATGGACAGCGTGGGACCAGTATATCCAGGATGAAAACAAGAAGTCCAGTTCATTAATGTAGTTTACAGATAACTTGTTTTTAATAGTGTGTTCAGTTTAATTATCAGTGTTTGTGTAACATAGTTTGTGGTGTTGAATAAATAAAAAAAATAAAAATTAAACCTGATGTCTTCATTTTCAATTTTAATAACACGCAATATGTTTAGCATCATTGTAATCACATAATTTGAATTACATAATATCCAGATAGCTTCATTTAACTCAGAGAGCTTCATTATATAACTCAAACTTAAGATAAATGCTGTTTATTATTATTAAACTTATTATTTAGCACATTTAGTATGTTATGGTGCAGAGCGACATGTGCGCGTTCCTCGTCCTATAAACAGAGATATTAGAACTGGATCAGACTGTCTCTTCTAACACAGATGTCGGTCACAGCACCTGGAATCTAACGTAGATTAACTACGAGATTAAAAATATATTCCATCAGTCTTAGTTTTGAAAGCAGTGTATCGCCGCCATGTTGATAAAAATATAGCATCTGTACGCGCGTGCGTGTGTGTATGTGGTTTAACACAAAGCCTCAGCGGGAGATGTTTACATTATCAGCGGGGGGTCAGTGAAAAACCTCCACTCTGGAAGGTGGGTTCAGAAACCTCTGGATTCAAAGAGGGGGGCCACTGGTGTAGCAGGACCAAGACTTTGGAACGAGTTACCTCTACTTGTCAGACAGGCCCCCTCCCTCTCTGTTTCCAAGTCCTGTTTAAAAACCCACTACTATTCAGTAGCTTTCAACACCAGATGATCTGTGTTTGATCCTGTATGCTCCAC